CTCCTCCTCCTCCTCCTCCTCCTCCTCCTCCACCACCACCACCACCACCACAAAGGGCCTGTTTGCCGTCAGTTGGGGAGGTCGGTGATGGGCAGGAGGGCGGCATGGTGGTGCCTGGGAAGACGGCAGCCAGAGGTTTGGGTTCAGAGAGTATGGGTGAGTCGTAGGTACTGCCTTGGGATGTCCGCAGGGAGATGCGGGAGGGTGAGACAGCACCGGCGGTGCCACAGCCAGGAGACTGGCTCCTAGAGGGGAGCGAAGCCATCCTCCGTAACACCCGACTGGATGCCTGGAAAGAAGACAGGAGAAAGGTTAGGGCAGCCAGATAATGTGACATTTAAAATCTTTTGCATGATAACGAGGCATATTTTTATTAAAGCTTCTTAAAATGCCCTTTTTCCCCCAGAGGTCATTACACCGGTGCAAATACTATTAAATTCTACATATACACAGTTAACATATTGTATGTAGTATGTATAATGTCTAGTAAAATCTCTGCAAACCTGCTCTCTAGACTCCACAGTTTACATAAAAAAAGAAAAATAAATCTAGGACAAATGTGGATGTAGAGAAAAACACAATCCCAAAAGATTTTAAGGAAAAGGATGATGAATATGCTTCACAAACCTCTGTATATCCATGTATCTGAATAATTTATTATAGACAATAAGAAATATATCATTGAGAAAAAGTGATTTTTAGATCATTACAACAGCCAAACACTCATTGCTCCAACTTTGTGAAATAAATTTTAAATATTTAATGGGTTCTTCAATGTCATAATTATAGTAAATGACATTTAATGACATTTTACTCCTTTACAATTAGCATTCACTTGACTCCTACATCCACGTGCACAACTACATAAATGTCAAGCATAATATCCATAACGCTCAACAATTAATCACTTCAGCACTTCTGTTTTCAAAATAAAATACTTGCCGCAGCAAAATAAAATGAACATAAAACTTTGCACTGTACTGCTCCCATTTACAAATCTACTTGCCAATTATTAGCAACTTGACACTAATATGATGAAGGGCATCATTATCTTTTTCATTTCTAACTCAATGTGCATACCTTTGAATAAATGTCTAAATTCATTATACTGTAGGCTGAGCTCTGCAAATATATATATACAGTATACAGTATATATAATGTTTCAAGGAAGAATTGGCTGAATATTTCATATTTATGGTGACAAACGTGCATTTCCTCATTATCACCAAATGTAAAATACCGCTCAACTACGGCTTCAATCACCTGGATGCTGCATTAATGCATCGACTCTTCGAATGCTTTGAAGGAAAATTAAGAGCCCAGACATTTAGGCACATCCAGTGAAGCTGCTGGGTTTTGGCTAAATCAGGAGAATATTTAAATGAGTTCCTGGCTATCTGTCAGTCCTTTTAAGGTAAGACTCAACTTGATTTGAAGGGTTTAATTGATGATGTTCATCATCAATGACAGAAATTATTGTGCTGTCTCTGATTCACAGAAACAAAGCCAAATATTTCCGGAGACACCAGTCTGAAAAATTCATGATTTCTCATTTTAGAAAACAATCACATCTGATAATATTATGAGAATTACAGCTGCATGTGGAGTTTGCCCAACTGCCTTTAAATTGTAAATTTGCTCAAACTGATTATTTTAAACACTTCTCCTCCATGTTGGCTTCATTTGAAATCTCCAGAAAAGTTGCTTTCAAAGGTCAGAAATAATTTTTGAACCTCAGCAATAAATACAGTATGAATGAGAAATCCTTAAAATGTTCAATGTCAACTTTACAGTTAAACATTTGATTGATCAAGAAGCCCTGCCCCAGTCACTCAGTGCTGCTCGGTGCGTCAAGCTCTCGGTTCTGGCACAGCAAATATGCAGCTTACAGCGACAGATGTATCAATTGGAATTCTTTGTAATTCTTAAAACAATAGCACCTCCATTTAAAATAGAGATAGACAAAAGCAATCTTCTAATTTTAAGATGGCTAGAAGGGGTTTAACGACAGACAACTCCATTTAGCGATTATGATCATGTGATATGATCAAAAACTCCAGAAAATAAATGGACATTTATGTAAGACTGTGTTCTCAACTGCTGTTTCCAAGGTCAAGAACAAACTTTATGATTTCTCATATTTTCTGGTCCAGTTTTCTAACTGATCTCTACATAAACACACACACACTTCATATATTTTCAGAATTGTGGTGCTCTTCTTGAGAAGACAAACAAATGAAGAAAATCACTCAAACAAACAAATTAACAAAAGAAATTCAAATGACTAGCAGAGGTCAGATCTACCTGCCCAGAGGCTTGACCCTCAGCTCTCGGGCTTCTCGATATCAAGGCTCGGGGCTCCGAACGTACCGTGTTCTGGTTGCTGTAATAACTGACGCTGCTGTCCTGGTAGCCACTGTCTGAATACGAGTTCATTTGGGCCGAGTGACCCCCTGAGCCTGAGAGGAGAGAGAAGTAAGAGGGCAAGGAAACACTGCATACTCATTATTATAACTCAGTGGTGCAACAACCCTCGGTCACTGTGGTTCAGTGATTTGCATATTATATCGCTTGGCTTTCAACCTGTTAAAAGCTACCATGCACATGAATACATACACATGGATATGTGCATCGAGCCTGGTCTGCATACTGTACACCTTAAAAATTGCTGGCCTATTTTCTCCTGTAGGATGAGGAGGAGGAAGCATGTGGGGGATATTTTTACAATATCAGACCTCTCTGGCTATATGGAATATAAATAAGCCCAAAGGCAAATTTATTTTTACCTTTTCAAACAGCTACTAAAAGTTACACGCTTACTAATGGTGTTGGAATTTACTGTATGAAGGCGGTCTATAAGTGTTGGAGAAAACTCTCACTTCAGTTTTTAGGATGTGAGACAGGTGTGTGATGCAGAGCCCACACAATTAATTTAGAGTGTTTCAGAACCAGCTACATCCTTAATATGTTCAAAGAATGTCCAGAAGGATATAAGAGAAAGTCTCCTGTACAAGAGAAGTCACGCTGCAGTGACTCCATCAGCTCTGCTTTTTCAGCCTCCCATCTTTTGTGGTTTAACGCAAGCTTGGAGGTAGGTTGAGCCACACCATTGCATTGTATTGCACCATTCTTCATTACAGTGAGCACACACACTGCAGTTTATTTTGACTCAATCCTGCTGTCACGAATTCTTATTAGAGCACTGGTGTGGATTAATCAGCAGCTGAAAGCAGCACCATTTGCTCCAGTTTGAATAATGTTATCCAGCCGTTTTTAAAATGAGCTATTAAAGATTTACATCTTCAGCAGCAGGTAGCAGTAGGTGCTGATGCCATAAACAGGAGAGGAAAGTTGTCAAGTAGTGACAGACTAAAATACAGTATTTTGGTCTTTTCACATGATTTCTTTGTCCATGTCCAAGAAAGGCTGCTTTGAGAAACTGGATCTTTCATAAATTAGAACCAAGCATATTAAAGAAGGTTTCTCAGCTTAAATGCTTTAGTTCTGGATGTTTAATTAACAGACCCTCACTGTCATGCAGGGAGACGTGGTCCGGCTCAGGCAGGTAGAGCCCTTCCTCCTCCTCCAGGTGACAACCAGACGCCTCCATGGCTCCGATGTGCGACTCTCCGCCTGCCGGTGCATCTGTCACACAGTTACAAACATACAGCAAGTCCTGGGGAGACTGTTAGTCAAAGGGTTAGGTGTAAATTTAGATACTGGGGACAATTCCCTATGGAATAGCAACACAAAATGTAAAACACAAGGCAAAGCAATGTGTGTATGAAAAGTACTGATTCTTTGACTCAAAAAATGCAGTGTTTTATAACAGTATTTTTGTTTTATTGGATAGCTGACAGTGAAGAATGAGTAAGGAGACAGAGGAGAGAGATCTGTGACATAATAGTAAATGGATCCAATTCAAGTCCATATTTACTGGTGGGAACACTGCTTTGTTTTGCCTGACTGGTCGGTGTTGCATTCTGGCAATTTTCAGCCCTTTGGAGGCTAAAATGGCTTCTACATCTGGAAAAATGCTTTCTTTAGTGAGAGAATAGTATGGATTTTTATTTATTTCAGACTGCAGTGTTTACCATTTAAAAAAATATGAAAAAGCAAAACAAACAAAAAAAAAAAGATAGTAACGCTTTTTATTACTTTTGCTTTAGACATTTCAGGAACCAGTCTTTTTAGCAACCTTATCTTTTCAAAGCTAGATTTTTATAATTAGACATTCAAGGTTAAAAGAAAGAAATCATACCTGCTGATCTCCATGCAAACGACTTCTCAGATGAGCTTCAGCAAAAGACAGGAGGAAAGGAAATGGAGGAGACGAGAAAGCAGAGGGATGTGAATCAAATTCAATCAGTGGATCAGACATGGAAGAGGAAATAGGACACTGGTTTGAATATAACAAAGTTATATATATATGTATGTTTTACCTCAGCACAAACTCTTCAATTTACTTCCAATTTACAAGCAACTTGAAGAGATTGAAGCTTCTGCCATTGCTGTGTGAATTTCTATTTACTTTTCAAATTGATTAAAAGCGCGAGTCAGTTGACACCAGCTGGGGATAAGACATGTTATATGACCCCAAACCCAGCCTTACACTTTGTGATATCAGCTAAGAAATCACCTGCAGCTGGAAACAAACTATTTGGTAAGAACACAACAGTACAACAGAGCTCTCATATGAGACTTGAAAGACTCAGGGGAAGTTATAACATGTAGAGCAAGGAAGTGACTATGCAAGTGAAGAAAATCATGATGAGGCTAAAATAAATAAATAAAATCTACCAGAGAGGTATCAAAGGTTGCTTTGGCTAAATCGGCAGTTAGGCCCATTCTTAAGAAGCAGATGGGCACAGGATGGCAAACAACCTGGCAGACTGGAGATGGTGAAGAAAAAGCCCTTTATGACTGCACAGCAAGTCAGGGATGTTCTCAAGGATGTAGGTGCACATTTCCTTGTCAACAAACCAGAGGTATACAGGTACATTCTGCGTGCTCAGATTCAGCCACATGCATCAAAACTCAATGGGTGACATGTCATCGTTATGCAGGATGTTTTCCTACTGAAATTAAAGCTCAGACTTGGCACCTTAATGTGTTATCCATATTTTTATTTCTAATTTTATATGGTGCAAGACAGAGCCTGAAGATTATGACCAAGGTCAAAGCCTTCCTTAGGTTTTAGGCATTGTTCTACTGTATGTTCCACTGATTATTAAATCTCTCTGAAGACTTGAGGATCAATCTTACATCTAAAATCATGACTATTATAAGATACATCAGAGCAGACATTCAGTCTTTCCTCATGGACACATGAGGTCAACATTAAATTCTGTGATTTTGTGGATCTGAAGGTTTCTGTCTATGTTCAGAGTGATGTACTGTATTCTGGCTGTGTAAAGTGGCTGAACATCACTCCTCATGAAGACAAATATCATCATTATGTAGTTTGAGAGAGCAGTCTGCAACCATGCATGATTTATAGCCAACTGTGATCCATATATGTAACAATTGTGTTTTGGGTGCATTGTTTTTAAAGGACTAAAAATTCAGCTGAATCCTACATGAAGCTGGTCAGTTTATATTTGGTCAGCAGGGAAACTCACTCAGGTCACTGGGCATCCAATACAACGTTCCCATGCACACCATCTCAGCATGTGGAGCAATCCAAAGCCAAGCTATGTTGTCAAACTACCTGCTACTGTCTTCTGCTGGCGACTCTGTTCCCAGCATGCACCTCTCCAGCTGGCTCGCCACGATTTGCCTCTCCTCTTCCAGCTCCCGAGTCAGCCGCTCAAACTGGAGCTCCTACAATTAAACATTTACAGCCGTGATTAGAGCCCGACATCCACCATGACACAGCAGACTAAACCTCATTTTTTATGATCTATTTGATGCCAGTTAGAATTAAATAGAAATCTCAATCTGTATTTAGTCACTTTTCACCGGCTCTGAGCTCACTGAGCGGCTGCATCTTCTCTAAATAAACCTTTTACAGTGGATTGAAATCTAAAACACTAAAATGGTGTCCGGGACCTTTTAATGGACTTCAGTTCAGATGATGTGATTACACACATTTTAAGAATCCCAGTACAAAGCACAGAGGACTGAGCAGACAGTGGTGTAATATACATTACAAGGCTACAAAGAGAAAAAGCAGCTAAAACACCCCAAGTCATAGGCGTTCATAAGCACATCATGAAAATGACCATTAAATATTTTTTAAAGCTGTGTTAATATTGTTTAACTGTACATAACTGAGGTCTAATGTCTAAATATTTAAGGAGTGCAACAGTGTTTTTACTGTTATGGGATTAAATGGTTCAAAACATATAAGAATAAAACAAAAACATTACAGCTTTCAGTATTAATCAAGAGTTTTATACTGTAAATGCTGATCAAGGTGTCCAGGTTACTGTGACAGGAGACTAAGTAAGAGTAATCTTACAGCCTGAAACCAGGTGAATCTGGGGCTTTTTAGCATAAACGATGCATAACGATGATTAATTATCAAACTTTGTGCTGGTTATTAAATATGTGTTAATCAACTTAGGATTAGTGCCTGGTCATTAAAGCATGCTCCTTAATACTGAAAACATTCTGCACACCAGGAAAATAACCTTTAGCTTTATTATCAAGCTACTTCTGTATATTTGGAGGAAGACTGAAGGGAAACAATCCAGTATGATTTTTACTGATGCACCAATAAAAATACACAAATGATTATTTACGGCATATGGGGGCAGTAAATACTGGTATTTTCAAAGTCAAACTCCAACTTTTGTAGGACCACTGATGGTAGTTTAAATCAAATATGAGACACATTCACTCACCTTCTCCATCACTAACCTCATTTTCTCTGGGAATTTTAGATCATACATTGCTGCGGTTTAAAACCCTTTAAAGCCATGAGCCAAGATAATATGATTTGTTGTTGTGTTTTTTGTTTTTTGTTTTTTTTGCATTGAGAAAGTTTAAGGCCTGCCTGTTCCTCTGGGCCTGGTTTTCCTTTTCAGGCTGGATGATTATGTGTCGGTTTAATGGGTGTCAGAGGCTGCTTGTTGGCTCAGTGCTCAGGATTTATGTGAATCACTAGTACATGGTTTCCCCTGAAAACCTAACAAGCACTAAAAATATTCTTTTAATTAGTTTTAGAGTTTTGAGCATGAGTTCAGATGTGATTAGGTGCAGAATCTATGTGGCATTTCTCAAAGTACCTGTAAAATCTGGCCATCAAAGCATACTTCTGGCAACTTATGACAACAGAAACACCAGTGCTAAAATATGTCTTATTTATGAAAAGCCCAAAGTGTTAGCAGTGATCCAGTGCCTTGCTGAAGGGTGGTGAAGTGGAGCAGATGTTTGCCGACAGTGGCTGCATGGCTGCTAAGTTTTGGCACCTCCTCTTTTCTACTCAGTTACATAACACAGCTGATTCAAAGACCTTCTAGGAATCACAGCTGGTGTCACCACAGAGGTTCACTGGAGAATCAGCTCTCTGCAAATAACGTCTAAATATAAAACACCCCGGCAGGAAAATGCACAGCTTCCCAGGAAACTGTTGAGATTCAGGGCATGTTCTCAGAAAAGGGAGCTCACTTTGTTTAGTCTACTTTATAGTAGTTTTAGGGTCACAGTCACACCTGCAGTTTGGCTCCAGTTGTCATCATGAATTTTAGTAGCTTCTTAACATCTTTCGTTATGTCACGAACATAGTATCTGCAGTATAAAAATGACAAGCAAATTTTCTGCCTTTCAGCAGGTCCTGCACTACCTGATTCTACAACCAGTACCTCCATTTAATGACTGTAACATTAAACGTATAAGCACAAATTACTTGAAAATATAGGACACTGAATATGCAAGTTTTAAAAAAAATACATTTAAACATTTGACATTACAACTATCTTATCAAGCCTTCATTAGCTTTTTAACTTTGTCATGAATGCTACATGTGGTGTACACTGATCAGCCAGAACATTATGGCCACCTGCCTAACACTATGGAGACAGGAGTCAGTTGGTCGGCACTCATGTCACTCTGAAGCTTGTTGTTAATCTTCTGTAAATCTGTTCTGTTTCATAGTTAAACTGTCAGGAAGAGCACAGATGTGTCTACAATTCAGTGAAAAAGTTATGTAGAAGGAGTGAAAACTGTGGTCGTGAGGACGAGTTATAGAGAATTGTTTAGACCAATCCAACAGCCTCACCACTCTAGGTGTGATATCACCACTACAGCCCCTGACTCTTTCTCTTCATAGAGACCAATGGACAGTGTTTCTCATTTTCAACCATTTTAACAAAGATTCAAATACATTAATACATTTTAATCTTTTGAAAAGTACAAATGGAAGTTAAAGCTTTAATCTACAGTAGGTCAACCTCATCATCAGTGAGCTGTGGGCGTCCATGACCCTGTCTCCAGTTCACCATTTGTCCTTCCTTAGACACTGTTGGTAGCTACTAACCACTTCAGACCAACAACACCCACCAAGACCTGTAGTGTAGGAGATGATCTGACCCAGTCATCTCACCATCACAGTTTGGCCCTTGTCAAAGTCACTCAGATTCTTACACTTGCCCATAAGGAATAAATAAATGCTTAAACTTGTCTTTATTTCCATTTACACCTAGTGTGTCATAAACTAGTTAATTATTTATCCAGCATATAAATCTTATGGAAGGAGTGGGGTAGAAATTAAGTTTTTGGCTTTGATAATCACAGTGTGAAATGGACAGAAGACTAGAGGTGGTCACTACACATGGGTCAAATACTAGCTCACTTGTTATATCTGTGGTTTGGCTTTTGGTGCCAACTGCATTTTGAAACAGTTCAAAATGCAGTAATTATAGAGTATAGTGCATTTTATTTTTTAACTGGTCAAGTCAATTTTGTAGTATTATCACAACAGGGATACAGAGATTTAACAATACTAATACTACTGAGTACTGTCTCTCCTCCATTTTTACTCATGCAGTTGCGTGAAAGTCCTTCAAATGATAATCCTTTACAAAGTACAGTACAAAGACAAAAACAAAGCTTGCGGCTTTTCATCTGTGTGTGTCTCTTGATAAAAGCCGTTTTGCATTTGGGTCAGCTCTGGCCATGTGATGCACAGAGCCTTGACAGTCTCTTTACTGAGATGGTGTGCAGTGATTTAGTTAATGGTCTCATCATGTTGGTTATTTGCTTGTGCCTCCTCCACTATAGACCAAAGAGGTCTGCATGCTGCAGCAGCAGCTGACAGCAGAAACAGAGTAAAGTGGCTTGATTTCAGAGTCAGTCTGCTTCTGAAACCAAAATTAACTCTTCATTTAAAAGACATTACGTCAGACACAACTCACACCTACAGAAGAATGCCAAACACATATGGTCAAGGGACTATAAATATACACATTATCACTTATCAGCTTAGACTCCACCAAACTTTAATGATTCCCATCAGGACACAGCTAATTTTGCACTGCAGTGTTAATAAGTGTTGATTTTTCTGCAGCAGTTATTCTGAGTTAATTGGAGAGATGCTTCCAGCTTTTAGGGCTGATACAGCTCTGAGGCATCTGCTCCAAACTATCGCAAAATGTTTCACTAACTGTGCAACTGCACAAAAAGGCTCTTAGTTTGAGTCCATGCAAGCCATGTATAGGATTTTTTCTAAGCTTTTAAAACAGTTTTGACATTTTTCCAGCGTAACATCCAGACATTTTTCAGCAGTTATGTTGTTTTGAAGTAGGTTACGAGCTTCAGGTTGCTTTAAAAGGTCAGTCAAAAGGAAGTGTGGTGAAAATAAAGAAAAATCACAATAAGCTCTGTAGGTCTGGAAATAAAACTACTTGCAGTAGAACAGATGTGGCACAGCTTGAAGCAGTGTGGACAGTCAGCATTAAGTGTGGTTTAGTCCAATAAATTACTGTTAGTGTAATTAAAAGGAGTATGAGTGAAAAGCGGAGCAAAAGTAAGATACAACCACATGTAGGAAGATGCTAATAAGTGATCTTTAAGTGAGATATAGAAATAAACACATTGTTAAGACGCCAAGATCCGCATGAGACGAGTACATGGTTTCACAAAAACAGAGAAGGAGACACATATGGAGGTGAACAATAAGACCTCACCTGAAGTTTCAAGTGAGTGTGTCAAGTGAAATGTATTATTGATATTCACCATGTTCAGTGACACAACAGTGGCCGTTCAAACAACACGGTGCTTAAATGTGCTGAACACAGAGTTTCACTGCGGACTCCGCCCTCCTCTGCTCCTGACTCTCCTTACATCAAGCCAGAGCAGCACAGAGACAGGACAGGAAAACACAGCCCTCCTTGTTTCAGCCTCGGCACGCCACCAAGGACAAACAGCACCACATGGATGCCCTGCGCCTGTCACCTCATGATGTCTGGAAACACGCTTTACCCTGCCAGGCCGATGCAAAGCCATGTCAGGAGATGTCTTGCACCAGCTGATTCGCCACAGCTTACTGTGCGCCGTCACAGTGTTTTTCTCTGTCTTATCGAGTGGCACAACCACAGACCCCTGCATCTTATTCCTTCTTGCTGTGTCTAATCACAGTGTGGCAGTTTGGTTTATCCAGACTGCATGTGTGATATCTGTGAAATGTTCAGCCTAGTTCTGCTGCTGCGACACATTGCTTGCCATCTTAAAGAGACGATTCGCCCCTAAAGACTTTGTTGAAATGCACCTTAACATTTTCAGGCCTATTTTGCTGCACAGGGAATCCTTTCTCTTGTCCTGTCAGTAGCACTGCAGCACATTTTTCAGCCACAAAATGGACTGTGAACATCTTATGTCTGGTGGCGACATGTTTTGATGATTTTCATAATATGGGGAGGAATCATCCTAGTGAAAGCAGAGATACCATTAACACAGTACCCTCAATAAACCGCTATGCTGTTCATCCTACTGTTGTTTTGCCATCTCTCTTGCTCTCTCCACTTACACATGTAACCTATAGATGGATTAAAACACTTTGTCGCTTTGTACACCCAAACGCCCACCTTTGATGAAAAGGAACAAGTTATGCTCATTCTCTAAGGGCTGTCAAGAGGCATTCTGGGAGATGGTGGAAGTCACTAAGTAGGTGAGACAGGTCAAAACAAAGTGGGTTCACAAAGAGAGTACATAACTTTACGTAACTGCAGCTACAGTAACATCACAGACTGATGTGATCTGAAACAGCATCCCAAGGTGGATTTTCCTTTTTCATTTCCACATTGGATTGTTCACCTCAGCTATGAACCAGGAGGAATCAGTTTTCTCTCCTACTACAGTCGCTCTGCTGCAGACCACAAGTGTGACAGTGATCTCCAGGCCATCATAAGCTGTGCCTTTCCAAAACATGACAGAGCACACATTACAATTCAGACAGATGTCAACAGTCCTGTGCCTCAGATATCAAAGGGGGCAGGGCAGGGCTATGTGGTGACACAAGTGGACTGACAGAGCTGGTTTAACCCACAGATGCAGACCGTGACCCTGCAGCTTACATAAGGCCAACCTTTTGCAGAAAAAGCATCCACACAGCTCCATCAATTATCCACTCCAAGATCAGCTGTTTGGAAAATCTGTTTTGATTATGAGCATGGTGTTTCAGGCTCTAATCAACAAAGTCAATCCAAGCATGGAGAGTGCAGGCATGGCCCAGTTGTTGTCATTTTATTGAGCTTTGGCCCTCCCACTCTATCCAAGGTAGGGATTTGCTGAGCATGCAGGTTCTTTTTCAGGTGCACTGTGTCACATTCATACAGTGGGACCCTGTGCTGCACAACAGCAATCTGGTGCTGCCGGCCCTGGGGAGCAAAATAAGTATCCAAAAGCACATCTGATAACATTCCTGCAGACAAGATGCCCTATCTTGTATACAGAATTAAAGATAAAGTTGTTGTTTTTGTTTTCCCTGACAAGATAAAAAGAAAAAAAAGACTTATGAAAGATAAATGTTGACCATTCTAACACTGCTGCTGGGTCCACCATTACAAGTTTATGCTGTGTGGACAAATACTGTTCAAACACCCACCACTTTCTATTAAATTGTCCTGATTCTACTAAGTATTTATCCAAAACCTACATAAAGGAAGAGCTGGCATTGAGAAAATAAATACAAATGTAATAATAGTGAATAGTTGGTTATGCACCAGACTATTTCTGCGTCGGCAGCAGTAACTTCCTGGTGTCTCTACTTGTTGCCCATTTTAGCATTTGGTAAATTCTAGCAACCATCTTTGTGTGAAGCTAACCTGCTGCTGGCTGAATCCTTATCCAGACAGATGCCAGATTGGTATCATTCCTAAGGATATCCACTAAAAACGTGTGCTTTATTCCATGATTGCCTGATTTCTATTTTTATTTCAGTTATTTTTAATGAGGTACTGCACATCCTGAGCAACAATGTAGATATGCAGTGGGAGGTCACTTTCAATGTCAACTCAAACAAAATGATTTAACACAACACTCTGACACAGTAAAACTCTATATTATGACAGCTCTGCAAACTATTCACATCTGATATCAGATATACTTCAGTCTTGATTTCACAGAGCGATGCAGCTACAAACATCTCATCTTTCATTTTGAAGCAACTTTGCTGCAGGCTGTTGACTCAACAACTAATCACTCTCACCTTGTTTGCACTGCCACTGTGATGGTTTTAGGTTTCCAAGCTGCCACATCTCCAGCTCTGGTATTTCCCTGCTCACGTCTAGCACTCTCTTACTTTTAATGGGCTAAATGAGAGCAAAGTGGGAAAGCATCAGGGGCTAAACACAATGAAAGGCAATAACTGATGTGCTCCATTTAGCGTGTCTAATTTGACATTTCTGTGGAGCAACTGTAGGCGGTAAATCTGACGCTTCAGCAGAGCTGCTGTCTGCATTCCAACACAAAGAAAGGTAAAGCAACTTGATTATATTTTCTGGTTGCAGTCTGTTCAACAATCTGAGACAAGCTTCATAAAAAAGATGTTTGCTCTCCAGTAACTTCCAAGTTTATAATGCACTAATAAAGAAGGTTGTATGGTGTTCTCGCTTTGTGTTAGCTGTTAATCATCATGTTCTTATCAACATGCACCACATGATTAGTGAGATATAGAAATCAGATCTTGTCTTGAGCACTTTTGCCAAGTCCTCCTAATGAAATGTCACTGCCTTAAAAACAACAACACATACTGTATGAATGTTTTCTGATCTGGTGCTCTATCTGCAGCATGACAGGCCCAACCAGTCCTTGTGCCTGAATTACAGCCAGAACATCCTGTTTGTACACTACAAAAATGGTCCATATTAATCTTTTCTAATTTGCCACTGTTATGATTATGGTTTATTATTGGTAAGGTGCCCAACATTACTTGGTTATGGTTGGAAAAGATCATGGCTAAAATGAATTAGTGGTAGGAGATTAGATGAAAACTGCAAACTCTGCTGTCAAAGCCAGATAGTTCACCTAAATGCTGTCAAATAGACAACAGTACTGCATTCACAGTGTTGACAAGGACCCTGAACAAGACCAAAGCAGCTTAACCACAAGGATACAAGGATGCCCCTAAAATGATCGCCTCCATCCAAGCTTTCCATATTTGTAAGATCCTTCCTCACAACATCATAAACTGCTTTATCACCCATTCACATCTTGAATCATGTGGCTCCAGCGAATCTGGCAGCCAGGTGGACTAATGAACCACATTCAGTCTCAACAACTCTTAAGGCATGAACGACCCCACGGAGGTTAAATGCTTGGGACTTCCCATTAAGGTCAGTTGCCCTAGGCTTAACCCTTCCGGACACTGATCTATTACTCACACAAAGCCTTTTGGCTCATATTTTATCATCGCACCAGTACCATAGACACAACAGTAACAAGTTTTGCAATGCAATAACAACACAAGTTCAACGTTTGATTTTGAAGTAAAGAAATGACTTGTCAGGAAAATGTACATGCAAGTCATTTTAACCATGTTACATCCTAACAATAATATCACAATCAAGTCCAAGTCCAAAGAGCTGATGGGACAAACATATTAACAGCCAAAGTAATCCAGCATCTATCACCGCTATTTTGAAAATGTTATTTATTTATTTATTTATTTATTATGAATTAAGTGTCTGTATGAGTCCTCACTATATAGACTTTGGCAAAAATAACTAAAAACCTTTGAGCTTTAATGAATGCAACAATACTCTTCATTGCAATCATGAATGTTCTCATCATAAAAGGTATCACAACAGCTTCTGCAGAAATAAAACAACAAATATATCCAAAACTAAATGCACCTGCAGAAAGGATAATCACCTTTACTGGCCAAGTATGTTACACACAAGGAATTTGTTTCCAGTACAGAACCAATGGCAGCCATCTGTGGCGCCAACTCACACCGATGGCTCAAACCATCGGGGGCAACGGGGTTCAGTGTCTTGCCCAAGGACACTTCGACATGTGGACTGCAGGCACCAAGATTTGAACCTCTAACCTTCTGGTTGGGAGACGACTGCTCTACCCACCGCACCACCGTCGCCTCCCTCTATAAGAAGTGGAGATGCTGAGGATTGAACCCAGGACCTCATACACGCAAAGCATGTATGACAATGGTGCAACAGTCATGGACTCTGTCATGTGAAGTGTTTCTAGCAGCAAGCAGAGCTTTTGAGACACTACATATGATTGAAGGGTGGCAAAGCTGCTCCTGTTGTGTTCAACAAAAACCAGAAAGCTGAAACAGTCGCATCAATTGAGACATAAGAATAAACACATAATTTTCTCAGTTAGGGCCAAAGACATAGCAGATTAAAAGTAAAAGCAGATTCTTTTTTGGACATAATACACCTTCACACTAATAGCAGTGTGCCTGATTCAGAGTCAGACACCAGGGGACCATGTTGAGAACACAGCCAATGTCCAGGCATAATTAAAAGCACGGGGAAACGGACTGACAGCCTAGTTGATAGGACAGAAAGTAGCATGAAAATAACAGTGGGTAGCAGACACAGATGGACAGGCGGAGGCTGTGTTCATACTACACCTGCAACCGTCTCTATTGTAACATGCTTTTCAGTGTGTATCAACAGCAAAAGGTAGTGGTGGGGAAAAAAAGTCACCATCTCTGGCTGTTGTTGCAAATCAACCAACACAAATCAAACTGTGTCAGTTTTTCTGTGACATTTATTTCATCAAACCAGCAACAATGAGCGGCGTTAGGGAGGTTGACAAGACAGAAATCTAAATCTAGTCGAATACACGGTGAGACACAACCAAAATAAAAAAAAAATCTAACTGAAATGTGTGATGAACAAGAAAATGAAACAGGTACAAAAAGGTCTATGACACAAAATAACAACAAGGAAACAAAACAGCAGAGAGGCATAAACCGGCCGCAAAAAACATCTAGTAGTCATCACAATCATTTTGTCTGGATGTAGGAGGAAGGTATGGGGGGTACAAATAGTAGCTTTTTATTGATAGCATTCTTCTGAATGTGTGCCCTGTCTGTCCCAACCATTTAAAAGTTTCTAATCCTGCCTCTGGATTCAAATAGGCTTCAAATTCTTAAATTTGATGACTTTGTGTGCAGTCCTAAAACATGGTTTACATGAGAGGAGGACAGACATGTTGCAATGAAGATATGAGCAGCAAGACAGAGAAAAGGTGAATGAATTGGTGAGCAAATGACTAAAAGGAGAAAAATCTGAGCACACACAACAACAAAGATGTGGCTGCAGCATCCTCTGCCTCCTTACCTGCTCTTTGACAGAAGCCAGAAGGTTAGTGGTGGTGGTGGTGGTGGTGCTAGTATCTGATGGAAGGCTGTGACCACTTGGCCTCTCTCTGACCGCCATGGGCCCTTCCCCCTCTGCGTCCCCCTCCTCCATTGGCTCCACTTCTCTGCTATGGTCCAGACCTGGCTGGCTGCTGAGACACCCTCCCTGACCCTGGAGTAGGACTACAAGCCAGTTAGGATATGGACAAGGAAGAGGTGCAATGAACACAAAATACTGCTGGGGGGGGGGGGTGCTCTGAGTGTATCACAGTGTGACTTTACGGGGACCATATTGTGTTTTACCTACTATAATAATTCTGCAGGCATTCACTACGACCTTAAGCTCTATGCCATTATGTCTTTTAAACCTCTCTGACTGGTAATGAATGTATAATGATCTCACCATATCACTACAATATTTCTCCAACACCCCTGTGGAAGCAAAGAGTGTGATTGTGGCTTTTTAGGCACCTAGAGGATCGATTTATATAGTGATTGGTAACGAGAGTCAATAATAACATTATAATGCCTCTTATGAGGACAACCAGGGGAAGTAACCCTTTACTGGCACATGCAATTCCAGATTTCCTCAGAATACAGCTGCAACAGTTTAATATTGAACGTAACGCATTGCATTTGCAGGTGTTTGAACGCTGCACAAAGAGCGTTTGACAGCATGTCACGTTCATGATTATCTCCCCTCATATCACAGCCTGAGCTCTCCGTGATGAGCCTACATCATATGATACAGACAGCCCGCCTGTCAAACGTGCACATCAGTCATTTAGCCACCATCAGGTAGCCAAGGACGAGGTCACATCGACTCAGCGGACCGAGACCGGGGAGCGCGGCTATACTTAACCCGAGCCTCCCTCCCTGTCCTCCCGCCTGTCTGCCCGGCAAGCGGCTGTCAGTACGACTCACCGGCCAGATGTTAGAAGCAGGCCACAGCTGGCTCGATCGGTCCTGTTATGCATCCATTCTCCTCCTGCAAGCGACCGTGGCAGCTACATTTCCCACGCTCCGACGCGACAAATAAACAAAACAAACAGCAAACACTCCCGTGCGCGTCCACGCGGCCCTCGTGCACAACTGTATTGTATTTTATTTTAGTTTTGGCTTTTCAGTGCACCCATCTACCCCCGGCGTCCGCGCGGTACCCAGCCATCCACCCACTAACCCGCCCAGCCACTATCACCCATCAGCGACGTGACGTCACCATGCGACTATGGATCATTTTCCAATACAGCAACCGACCTGATCGATGATGCATGCCTTGCTGTTGCAGAACCCTGTTCAGTGAGATGCAGCGCGGCAGCTCCGTGCAGACAGGGAGGGTGCAGCCTGCAGCGGCCAGTGTGTGTGCGTGTGCGTGTGCCTGCTACAGGCGTGACTGTTCCCTATGAGGCTCCCCAAGGAAACTCGAACAGGAATGACTTATTAAGTGCTTCCTTCTAAATTATAGAAGGTAATTTATGGAAGCCCATTTCCGCAAAGAGCTTAAGTTACAATAATGACCAAAATAACGGCCTGTTCAGTCAAAACTTTGGAAGTGCTGTTAAACTTCATCTTCTACTTAGACTACCCAGTTTTTGCTCTTTTATTTCGTAAAACACTTTGTTCTGCATTTAAAAGGTGCTACAAAAAACCTTTGGTAATACTAAGCCAAACTATTGATTTAATAATCCAAATTCCACTTAACGCTGGCCCACGTTTGCTCTCATATCTCACCATTTTCACTTGGGCCATGAATATCTTTTACACTACACTTGCTTTATCATGTAGAGTATGACATGCAACTTTAAACTGGCAAGTATTTCATTCCTATGTTAAAAAAATAACAGTACATGTGTACGTGCACATGCCCATTTATTTAAAGGATAATCAAGAGTCTGTGTTCAGAGATCTGCAGGGTCTTACACTGAGCTGTCAGGTGGATTTCTCCTCATTACAAACACTTGAGGGATGCCCATTTTAAAAGCTGCCATCTTCAGCCACCTCTGGTACATTTGCATTTAAAATGAACAAATACCACCTGCAGATAAAAAGCAAGAGGGGAACATACAAGATGTCAAGGTCTATGCAAAGTTAAGCCACTAAAGATTCCCACTACTGGTCTGTAAACTTAGAAGCCATCCACTCACAGGGAGAGGAGGAAGAAACACCTTTTACCTGAATAGCCAGCAGTTCATATAAATAAACCTGCTCTTCAAAGCAACAATATCAAGATGATACATTCGCCATTCCTTTTGCTGCAAAATAAAATCGTGTCACTAAACAAAGTGCCTAGTTTCAGAACAAGACATTTTTTAAGTCTACATACTGATACATTTTATATCATCGCTTAAAAATAGTGTCGATCAAAGTGACAACCCTAAATAAACCAGACAGTTGTGTTGACATTTCTAGGAGCTTAAAAACAAATTCTTCCCAAATGCATGTCTGTTACGTCTGCATCATTTGGAGATGTGGACAAACTCAGAGGTTAAACCCTGCTGTTACACCTGAACACATCATTCCCAGAGCATTTCATTTACCAGACAAATGTCACTGTCACAGTCATGTTCACAGACACGGCTAATAACTAACTGTTGAATGACTCAAGGCCTAACTGTCCATCAAATGTCAAAAGAAATCTTTAGTGTTTTTTGAGACGTCCTTGCAGTCAAACTAATGATGCCACCACACAAGCAAACAGAGGTTAACAAGTTAAAGGGTTAAACTTCCACAAACAAAACTAATCTGCATTTAAACTGACCAGTCTTTTTCCTGCATCCTCTGTTAGAGAGGGATATGAAACCTTGGCCAAAGAGATGCCAACTAATGCTTTCGCACTGCTTCTGAGACTGAAGTTGCTCTTATATGCAAACATGCTGCAGCAGTAACCAGGTCAGGTTGGGAGGATCAGGACACGTCACGAGATGCAGGGTCTGGTGTGAGCAGGCTATGCACTAACACTAGCTTCTCCTACTGAGCTCTACTAAGTCATAACACTGCATGAGCCAGAAATCTGCTTGGTTGGCAAGTTCAGAACTCACTTTTTAAGAAACTCACCTGTGTTAATCTGTACTGGAAGAGACTTGTCAGCCTACAGAAGGTTGCCTTTTTCCAAAAACATCTTCTGTTGTTGCACTGTTTAGGGTTAACAGGCTGAAGGACAACACAGTAACACTGCAGGGCTTTAACATAGAGAGTGAACTAAATTTAGTTCCATCATTAAAAAGCTTCTGACATATTTGGACCAGCATCAAAACACTTGGCATTAATCTACCCATGAGCTTCCAGATTAACAAGCAGTGAAGAGAAGATTTCATTTGTAGCACCTTCAAGTTTTCTAAAGATTCCAGCAACTAGCAAACACCACTTGAGTTTACTGTGGTTTTTAAATGAAGCATTGTTTTGTCAATGCCCTTTATAACCAAACAACCCGTGTCGGCTGTGGCCGTCAGTGTGCACAGCCGACACGGGTTGCTGTCTCAGCAAACAAAACACGAACCTCTAATAATCCCTTTAGAGAGCAGGAGCCCCTGATCAAAACAATATTTCACATCACTGGAACCACAAGTCATTAGCACAAACACTTTTAAAATTCACCAGTTCGATCTTCATAGAACCAGGACAGGAAACTAACACCAGCCAGATGCAGGCGAGGGTCACTCTCCTTTTAGGTTCTAAAAATCTAACTAGCTGGTACAATAGTAAAACCCAAATGTTAGTTTCCTGCCCTGCACACAATTAGCCTTTCAAACTGAGGAACCACAATACAGATTAAAAAAAAAAAAAAAAAACAGCGAGTACCGATACATTTATACAACAAAATCTGCATGACATTTTATAAATTAAAACTAATAAATAAAGGATTAGAGGACAGCACCCTTTGCATAAACATCAGTACAAAACCTAACAGTCAGCAATGTACAACAAATGCAAGTGAAACTGAGAGGAGCAGAGTGGCATGTTAGTGGATTTGTGACCCCATGAACCTGTTGGCACTACTCCAGATCATCCACGTCCTCCATCGCAATGGTGCTGGTCTGTTCTGAGGTCACACCTAGAAAACAAAGCTAATGTCAACGTCTGAAGCAAAAAAAATAAATCTCCAAAACATCCACCTGTCACAGCACATAATAGCAACAGGCCTGCAAACATTCCCTAACGCTAAAAGACTAAATGTATTCAACATGTTTTCAAAGCTTAAAGCTGGTTTTACAAAGGAAATCAAAGCTACTTGAGGCATCGTCATCAGGAGACTTCTTGGTGTTCTCCACGTAGCCGTGACTCAGCAGCTTGGACATGCTGACAGGGAGAGCCTTCTTATCATAAGACCTGCAAGCAAACACAATCCAGCACTGTTATTATGAATTCACTCCCACTGTAAATTCATTTAATGATCAAATAATCCCATAAAACTCAAATTGTGGCACTTCCAAACTCACTCAGGTATTTGGACTGTTTTTTGCTCAGTGCTGTATCCACAATATGAAAAGCACAGAAATCAGTGTTGACACTTTTCCCTCCAAGTGTAAGGAATGAAATCTCAAATAAATGAATGGACATAAAGTGGGCATATTAACTATTTCATTACCAAGCCTTCAGCGGTGGGCTTTACTTACGTTCTCTTGTATTTGCCGGTTAGAGACAGACCCTCCATCTGTTGGACAGCACCATCAGGAGACATCTGTAGCATGGACAAGTTGGACAGGTTTCTGTGCAACCCTTGATCACTTTTACAATGGGAAAACACTTTTTATTACAATAATATGCCAACAAATGAAAATGTGAATGCATCTGAACTAAGCCGATCTGGAAAACTGAGCAAAAGGTGAAATGATGGGAGAAAAACTCAGATGAAATCAGACATGCAATGAAACGGATTCAAGAAACAGCACAAACCCAAACACCTGCAGGAAACACTTTAATCTTAGTCAATCATTTTGCTCAAAACATTATGAAAATACATTCTCCTACCAAAGAAAACACATTTTCATCCAGCATATACACCTTGTCTACTTCCTCACTGCATTACTGGTGGCCCAACAATAAGATGCTTTATGGTAGTGTTTCCTTTGTCACCCACCTGTTTGTTAGTGCTACGGTATGTGACTTAAGCCAGCACTGGCATGATGCCCCAAATCTATTTACTCTGCTCTGCCCAACTCTTCAGATATTTGTCGCTGTGAAATTAAAATAAATGAGAAAGCAGCAAACTTTACTGATCAAGCAAAAATAACTGAAAATCTCCGACTGGTTAGAGAGGTCAATCCGGCTCAAAGCCTTTTAGAAGCAAACATCTCTGCACTGTTGCCAGTGCTGTTCAATGAGTCTGGGTCACAGGAGGCTTCGACGACAACCTCTCCACATTAAGATATTCCAAGATATTTGAAAGGATGTTCCATACTGTGGCACTGATGTTGCTTTTTCCCCTCCTAAACCTAATGTAGCTTTATGTTTGCAGTTGCACTATGTCACTTTTTGTCCCAATATGGCTTAAAAACTACCAGCGAATACTGAGGTAGAAGCATTTTTCTAACAATTATTCTTAAATGTGATTTTATGACATCTCCCTATGATTTTGTCTCATCAGGTCCTTACTGAGCATCATTCTGTACATACCAGAAACATTCATGAATGTTTCCACAGAATGATGACACAGCCAAAGTAGCGACAGAAAATGAAGCCCAAAAGAATTCTAAACAAAAAGCAAATGCAGTACTGGTCGCAAAATAAGGGGAAAACAAGAAAATGTGATGGCAAAAACAGTAAATAAATAAATAAATAAAAATCTGAAGATGGTAGACATCAAGATGGCATCAGTGTTGAGGGTGACTAGTTTGGTCCATTCACCTTCTCTTTACCATGTGAAAATATATCAGTCTCTCTTTCCCAGGGCGAACCGTTATCAGTGCCAAATGGCGCAGCGAGAGGCTGCCTGCCCCTCTTCATCAGGCTGTTGGGAGACGTTGCTTTGCTTCCACTGTAAGCACAAAACTATGGTGACATACCATGTGAAATTACTGCTCACAACGTATCGCTTTCTGGGGAATTTTGGCTGTGGTCCCTATATTTTCTACTGCTTTGACTTCAGGAGCATCACTACCCAACAATAAATGCTCTGTTGCATCTTTAAAATCAAACTGGCTTAAAAAAAAGTGCTGACAGTGATTGATAGGGGTTTCTACTTTTCTACTGATCTAGTCAAACCTAAATTCATGAGCTTCATATTTGTTTAACCACTACATTTCTTAGCCACTTAACTTCCCACACTGGTACTATGAAGGAGACTGTTTTCAAAACCAACAAGAAAATGGAAAAGAGGCCCCAGGCTGAAGAATGAGTGGTGAGTGTGTGCTGTAAAACAGGTATTAGAAGTTGTTCAGAGTTTTAAAATCACACAAAGTCCATCACCTCAACATGCAATGATGCATCTTCATCATGCTAGGCTTCTGTTTTTTGTTTTGTTTTTTTTGAGTGTCTAACCAGTGTTCTCACCTCTTTGACTCATCATCTGCAAACCAGCTGGATGGATTGTAGGGTTTGCTTGGTTTGTCATCATCATCATCAACATCATGACTCAACAGCCCTATGGGAAGAACACAATATGCAAAATGAAACCAAAACAAATACTGCCAGCAATTTGGAACATGTTATCAAATCGCTGAAAGTACAAATGTGCCATTAATCTTGCAGTCTATTCAGCTCAGGGGCGAGACATTTAACAGCTACAAAATAAGTTTTAAGTGAGAACTCAGGATGATGTGTGCTACTGTTTCCCCACTACCCATATTCTCCTGCACTGCTACCAAAGCTGTGATGAGAAAAGCTAATCTTTATCCACCCTTGAACATAATGTATAAACCGACATTGAACTTTTTAGTACAAATGGCCTAAATTTGCACAACAAAAACTACTGAGGCTCTTCTCAATTCAATTCAAGAATGGTAGTTGCTACAAAAAAAGCATTTGGATTTTCAAGAACTGGTTTGTACCTTTTTCCTTTTTTTGTTTTTTTAAATGTGAGGGGTAGTGAAGTAAGACAGTATGTGCACCAAACGTACCATTAGACCAAAAGCACTAATAAAAGTGCAAATCATGTTAAATAAGTAATGCACAGAGTTTTGTGAACTAACTTGATGCTTAGTGGACACCATGTGTCCAAATCATGTCAAACAAGTTGTGCACCACTGACTGAAAGTGACACCACCTTAAAGTTTCTGTTCTAATGGAGTCTGGGCGTGTGTTTCTCAACAGGAGTCAAGGGTGGCCCTTTGGCTGTGCTGTGCATTACTTTGAAACAAACAAGCTATTTTAGTAATACGGCCAGTGCTTCCTCCCATAAAGGTGGCATAATAGCCAACATTTTCAGACGTATCCTATCAAGAGGTGTTCCTAATATTCTGACCCTCTTGTGCATGTAGCTGGGGAGGACAAAAATATAGAAACACCTCTGAATATAATGTAGTGCAGTACAACGCCACCTTTAACTATGACCTCAGTATTAAACATATAATTGAATTTATACATTTATGACAATATCACCTAAAAAAGAAACATTCTGAGCTTCATAAACACAGATTTTAAGACAGAAGTGTTGTACTGAATTGCATACAATTGTACAGGTGTACCTAATAAAGTGACCAAAACCTTTACCTTTGTGTCCACCCTGCTTTGCTAGCTTCACATATTCTGAGTCCGTCGCAAATATCCCAACTCTCCGTCCACTGGTCCTCTCCACCGGGGTGCTTTTGTCAGCACTCTGGGACAGACCGGGGATCTGGGAGATCGGTCCAGACATGTCGCTGATCACAGCCCCAGGCTTTATGCCTACAATAAACTGAGAATTATGTCCAGTTGCTTTGCTATATGGCTCCACTGGTAAGCAAAGTAATGGCTCCTTGGCCTGTACACAGCACAACTGCCTATGATCTTAAAACTTGTGCATCTTTTATTTCTTGCTGTGGTTTGTGGTCATAACATATTTCAGATAGAAATGGCTGTTTTTCATTTTAGAAATGTTAACTACTTTTCAATTTTTAGTATGAGTATTACAGGTGATGGAGCCAGAAAATGCATGAAGTGATGTGCTGTGATTTAAATTGTCATGACATTTTTTTTGTGGCTTTTTAAAAAAAGTCACTAAGTGATGTAAAACACCATTATGTTTTTAGCAAGAAATCATAAGACCCCAAAACCTACCTCCAGGCTTGGTCCTTCGGTGGTTGGGGACAGCGGCACTCATTTCAGCTGCTGATATAATACAATCTGATAATTAAACAAACAAAAAAGACCATAAGTGCTCATTTCTAAAAATACAGACCAAAATGGGAGGCTACTATGCCCATTATCACCTATGAGATATACTGTAAAACAAACACCAACTACATACATTTCCACAAGTGTGTTTTGCCTTAACCATCACCTTCCATCACAATGGACAATGGTGAGCACTACAGTAAAATCATGCAGTAGTAGATAATACATGTGCCAAAGTTATAAAAAGACACAATAGCAAATCGTGTTTACAAAGTAATGCATTAAGTAACAGCAAAGCCATCTTAAATCAATTTCTCTAAAGTAGTTTGTTAAAGTGTTTCCCCAACAGGTCACTGTGGTCTGTCTGGGCTCTCTTATAAACACACTATCAATTTGCATTTGTTAATGCTGCAGTCTTGACAGGGCTCCCTTAAAAAATGAGGTTGTAAACCTCAATGGGATTTCCCTTGGTAAAATAAACGGCAAATAAATATTACGATATTTTTAACACAATAAAGGAGAAAACAAGTCTTGTGGGTCGGTGTGTGTGTGTGTGTGTGACAGAAAAAAAGGTAGCCTATATGAACACCTGCAGATGCCACCCATTAATCAAGGCACAAAATCATTAGCTAACAGTGGCACATTTTAATAAAAAGACCCCACTGTGCGAAGTACACCGACTATACACATAATAAATCATCAATGTAAACAAGTACACAGTATGGAGAATTATTCAAGATACATTCTAGCGTCTTCGATGGATTAATTTTAATTAGCAATGTGGCTAACAAAGCCTTGCTTATTCAGCTAGCCGCCAGCTAGTTGGCGCAGCAGCATTCCAACGCTAACCTTATTTTACACTGCAATAACTGTCAGGTAAATACTTAACGACAATAATCGCAAAAAATAAGAAATGTATTACATGATCAGCTATTCTCTTCTGCCGATTACTAACTTAGTTGTTACAAATACTTCACGTTAGCTTCTTTTCCTTCTCTACGTTGAACTGGACGCTAATCCAAGGATGTACTGTAGACGCACACACTTCCGGTGGCACCTTGCCGCCGACATCCGGTAGATCACCCAGAGATCGTGTATTTTCGACAACGGCTCGTGTGGATTTGCATTTGAGTAAAGATCTTAAAATCAGACAAAATGAAAGAACCTTCATAAACGCATGCTGTTAAACTATGGACGTTCTTTAGCCCTGAAGACAAGCATCTTGCTGTATGTAACTAAGTATGTTTATTCAAGTTTGCCGTTGTTGTTGCTTCTGCTACTGTATAGCCTAATTTACGTCACTACATACAGTAGAAAATATTGTAAGCCTACTTCTTACCTCACTGCAAAACACATTAGTAAATTATTTATCAACTTAACTATTAATTAAGCCATAAATTCTAGCTTCCTTATTAGAAAGTGGCACTATACTATTACTCTACTTTTTCATGTGTGACACCTTTGAAACAAGAGCTGTGACAAAGGGGTATTCCAATGCAGGCTAGGGTATTTGTGGTTTTAAAAAGTATTTTAAGACACCTTTGAATGCACAGTGAGAACTGAATAATCTTCAGCCCAGCATTCATCAAATCAAAAATCTTGGAGCTTAGAGTTAGATTTCACCAAGTAGAACTTATGGAATTATAATAAACAATATCAGCATGCAGAAAGCACCTCAACAGTAAGTAAGTAAGTCAAATTGATACAAATAAAGCAACAATGCTTGGGTTTGGGGGATTACTGATAATGCTCTCTGATGGACAGCCAACTTGGATGAATAACTCAGATCACTCAGAAGTCTTTGCCACAGTCAGTGCAGAGGATGTTATCTTTGCATGTCAGGAAGCCTTGGCCAACCAGAGACACGCAGCACCTTTTGCAGTTGAAGCACTTGCTGCGCCACTGCTCAAATGAGATGTATTCCCCTTCCACGGCGACCTGAAACGAAAACAACAAAGAAGAACATGAGTGACCTCCAAGACCTACAAAATGGGCTTGTCCCTATACAGTCTCATGATCTGTGTAATGTAATAATACACTAATTTATGCTGATTGGATACACAGGAAGATGAGGCACAAGGTTCAGTGCATGTTAAAGGTGATCGTTATACTGTGGTCACTTCTGTTTAGACTGCTTGTAGTTTAGATCTTGTGCTGCATGTAGGCCTACTGTGTTTTTATTTTGCTTTATGCAGTATTTAGGCTAATAACAGAAAAATAATTTTTGATTCTTCTAAAATATGTTGCCTATAAACGTGACACTTCTGGGGTCCCCATGAGCCCTTTTGACAAAGCCCTAAATAATATATGGCATCGAAACTGAACACTTAATAGTCTTTCCTCAAAACCCTCTTCTGTCTGACCATTTTCTAATAACTTTTGAATTTCCATTAATGGATTATACTCTATGTCGGAAACAATTCCACTACAGTAGATGTCCATCCGACAATACTTTAACCAAGTTTAAGGAAATAATTCCATCTTTATCTACTTCAGTGCTGTTTGCCAACACAGTGGAAGGAGGCCACCTTAACTTTACTCCCACACATGTTGATAATCTTGTTGATAGTACTGCAGCCTCCCTGCGTAATACACTTGATACCGTTGCGCCTCTGAAAAGGAAGGCAGTGAAACGGAGGGGGACTTGTTGTACCGCTCGCTGCTCCGCTCCCTGAAGCAGGCATCACAAACGATGGAAAGGAGGTGGCGCTCCACTAAGTCAGAAGAGTTTTTCATAGCTTGGAAAGATAGTTTAATAACATATAAGAAAGCCCTTCGTAGTGCCAGAACCGCATTTTATTCATCACTGATTGAGGAAAATAAGAACAACCCCAGATTTCTTTTCAGCACTGTAGCCAGGCTGACAAAGAGCCACAGTGCTGTTGAGCTTAACATTCCCTTAGATCTCAGCAGCAATGACTTCATGAGCTTCTTAATAATAAAATCACAACTATTAGAGAAAAAATTGGTCGGACCACTCCCACAGCTCTCACAGATGTGCCATCTACTACAATGGCTTTAGAAACATCTGTAAGACCTCATTTATACTTGGACTACTTCTCCCCTATAGATCTCTCTGAGTTGACCTCAACAATTGCTTCATCTAAATCATCAACATGTCTCCTGGACCCCATCCCGACCAGGCTGCTCAAAGACGTCTTTCCCCTAATCAACACATCCATACTAGATCTGATTAACCTCTCTCTATTAACAGGTTATGTTCCACAGTCTTTTAAAGTTACAGTAATTAAACCTCTACTCTTGACCCAGGTGTCCTAGCTAATTATAAACCAATATCCAATCTCCCATTTATTTCCAAAATCCTTGAAAAAGCTGTTGCAAAGCAGTTATGTGACCACTTGCACAAGAATGATTTGTTTGAGG